TTCTTCTTCTTCTTCTTCTTCTTCTTCTTCTTCTTCTTCTTCTTCTTCTTCTTGTCCGTTCCCTTGTTCATATCAGACAATCGTTGGATATGAGAATTTGACTAAGTAGGCACCATGATATTTCAACACCAACATGGAACAATAAGAAAATATGAAGACAGCCGTGAGTTATTTTGGTTGTGCGTTATGTATAGTGAGTAGTACTTGTGCTCGTAGTTTGTCCGATCTTTTGTTTATTTGCTTGTTTTCATGTTCGCCTTTTTGCTTGTTTGTTTGTTTGTTTGTTTGTTTGTGTTTTTATTTCACTTCACTGATTCTAGGAGTGCTGGCCAACACAGACATTGGGCTTTGGAACACGCAACGGAAATATGAGCATGACAAGACATTTATTAGTAACGTTGCTTCAAGAATGCGTGTTGTTTCTAAGGTCACACAGAATAACAGAGCATCTAATCACGTCTACTCTTCCCACACTCATCTGAACATGAACTATTCTGAACAATTTTTCATCATTCTGGGGGTGCAACGTTTTTTTTCTCTTTTATGTTGTATAATTGCAGTGGTTTAAAAAAAAGATTTTTGGTCACTTAAGGCTAAATATTTCTACAATACATTAGTCTCATTCCGGTTCTATTTTTAAATGAAAAACATTAGAGGCTACAGCATTATATATTATACACTTTATGCTCTTGTTTCGTGGGTGGTCGGTGGGTGTTCTGCCGTGTTTTGCTCCGTCTTTCATATCAAACATCTATCGTCCTCATCTGTCCTTCTTTTTCATGTTTGTAACTCTCTTGTAACACCTCTAATTTTCTACACCTATGTGGCCTTATTGTGTTGCAAGTGCCGTAAAACTCTAATTAAAATTAAAACTAAACACTCTCGTTTCTCCCAGGACGAGTTCGACCCTCGACTCCGGTGTATGTACCGCCCTGCGTCCTTACGGCCGCCCTACCTCCGCTACAAGCAAGAGCTCTTGTCGGTCTCCCCTTACGTGGCCCTGTTCTATGACGTCATGTCTGATGTCGAGGGAGACGTTATTACAAGCACAGTGAAGGACAAAGTAAAGTCATCATCATCATCATCATCATCATTGCCTTTCTCACCCTGTGCAAGGGTATAGGCCACGGACTAAACACTTTCCACCTTACTCTATCCTGGGCTGGCCTCTTGATGTTATTCCATGTCTTCCCACTTTTCTGTACATCAATTTCTGTGATTCTTCTCCAGGTTCCATGCGGTCTTCCCCTTGATCTGTTACCCTGTGGATTCCAATCCAACATTCTCTTTGATATGCAGCTGCCTGGCTTCCTCAGACTATGTCCAATCCATCGTCTTATGCAGTTGCGAGTGCCGTAAAACCCTCTACTAAAAAAAACCAACAAACAAAACTACTACTACTACTACTACTACTACTACTACTACTACTACTACTACTACTACTACTACTACTACTACTACTACTACTACTACTACTCTAT